ACCCGGCCGGCCGCGGCCGTGGGTGCGACTGTGATCAGCCGAGGTCGTTGGTCGATGGACCGGTCCCGTGCCGTGGCCCGATGCCGTCACGGCCGAGGTCGTGGTCCGATGGCCGTTCCGGCCGTGGGACGTGGTGCGACGGTGATACCAGCCCGGGGTAGGTCGTGGTCCGATGGCAGTCCCGGGCCGTGGGCCCGATGGCGCGTCCGGTGCCGAGGGTTCGTTGGTCCGATGGCCGTCCGGCCGAGGTCGTGGTCCGATGGCCGATCCGGCCGAGGTCCGTGGTCCGAATGGCCGTCCGGCCGAGGTCGTTGGTTCCCCGATGGCCCGTCCGGCCGTGGCCCGAATGGCAAGTCACGCCGAGGTCGTGGTCCGATGGGCCGTCCGGCCGTGGGCCGTGGTGCGGACGGTGATTCCAGCCGAGGTCCGTTGGTCCGATGGCCGCTTCCGGCAGTGGGCCCGATGGCCGTCCGGCCGTGGCCGTGGCCGTGGTCCGATGGCCGTCCGGCTTTGGCCTTCGTTTGATGATCGGCCGGCCGAAGCTGCTCCAAATGATCAGTGGCAGTTGGGCTCGGGGCGGCCTGTCGACGCCGCTCCGCAATCTTCCCGGACGACGTTTTTCCGTCGTGATTGATGGGCGCCCGGAGCATGTGGGCCCGCCCGGCCGCGTCGCCGCCCCAAGCCCCGCCGTCCCGCCGGGCGTCTGCGGCCGGCGCCTCGGGCCGCACCCTGGTGCCCGGCTCCATCCGAGCTCGGCGGCCGGGCGAGGCGTGACCGGCGCACGGACTCGCCATCGGCGGATCTGTTGTCGATCTGTTGCGGGCACATGCTCGTCCCGGGGTCATCCATTTTGATTGAATGCTTTGAAGGGGTCGGCCCGTCGTGATCGGAAGTCTCGACCAGACGTCGTGCATTTGGGCAGGCATGTCGGGGCTCCACAGTCAGCCGGGGAGTCGGTGCACCCATCTGAGTGCTGAGTCAGGCAGGCAATACATACATCAAACTGTATTGTGCACCGAGTGATAGCTTGGTACTAGTGGGGTATGACTCGGAAAGCGGTCGGCGCCAGATGTGTTTGCATAACCCTCATTTCTTTCATGGCAGAGCCCAGGCTTTGGAACTATTTGTGCACATTGCCACCGTTCGGTTCAGCTAGAACGCAGACTGATGGAGTTGTATAACGCTTAAATTTGACGCTTAAATATTTCTAAAGTTGTAGATGCGGCACGTTGGGACTGAATGTCTGAAAGTCAGCCAGTCCACATTTTCCAAGTCGTGGGGTACCATACCGGTTGAATTCTGTGCCTGCCAAACGTGCTAATGGCTCACAAATGCGAAGCATTTAAAGGGCTCAGTGCTTTAAATAAGCCTACCCTGTTCTGTTCTAGGACGCGTGGAATATGGTGTTGCCACGCCGTGAGATCGCTGCACTTCCTGAATCCCTATAACTGGGAATTGGTATAAGCGATGGGGGTATACAGTTTTCCCCCATAGCACCTGCACAAGCTACAATCGTTTTATCATTACGGATGGAATTTGTTGTCGAATTGTTTGTTTGAATTGTTGTTCGGGCTATGTTCCTCGTCTGGTGTGTTCTTATCCACACAACCATCTGCCAATTGGTTGTGCGGGCCGTTGCCGGACCTTCCCAGCCGCTGTCTGGCCACCTGGTCTCAATCATCACCGTAAAGCTGTGATCTTCTCGCAACCCCGCTTAACCTTCCGCTACTGTCCCACCCTTTGCACTGCAGGCCCCGCCAGTCACAAGGCCTTGGAACTTCGTCGGCTTGAATTGCCTGTCAATGCCAGCAAACTTCAATTTAAAAATGATTCGCGCGCACTCGTCCGTTACTGAAACCACGTTCTTCTGCGATATAAAAGGCTTACATTGGCTGATGAAAGCGAAATTCGGATTCGGCAAATATCTGACCTGCCTAAGGCGTAAGCGTTCGCTAGGTCGTGACGTCACACAATTTCCTGCACTCTGTCCTCGGCTGTCCTCGGCTTCATGCAGGGGGAACGTCACTTGTCTCGACTCGCCAAGCAATCTGATACCGCCGTCGGTTAGAAGTATACATTTCTAATGGCTTGTCCCCTCCCCCCCCCCCCCCCCCAACAAAGGCACGATCATGGTGATATTTGTCGTTTAAACCTGTTAATTGGATCACCCGCGCCGTGAGTGTTAGGTCTAAATGGTGTAATATCGTCACGTTTGCAGCCTACTAGCGGCCTATAGGGGCCATCTTATAGGCTCTTATTGAGGCCAGAATGTCCCCGAATTCAGCAACGCGAAGAATGAAGGGTTGTCAAAAAGGTGTACCATGGAGGAAACGCGAAGCCGCCTGCATCAGTGACGAAAAAGTAATTTCGGACGGCCAAAACTTATCAAGCGGGCAGTCTGATCGATGTGCTGTTTTTAAGCCCATGGAGCATGTCTGGCCGTCCTTTACAACAGCGTCGTGTTTTCCCACATGGCCTAGCAAAAGACCGTCCCATATTGGACAAGCGCGAAAAATTGCACTCTTCTCTCCTTTTGTTTTTTTTCCAGTTTGACTTCCTTTGGCTGATAGGAGCGCATTCAACTGGCGCACTTTTCACGCGGCAAGACCAGTGTTGCACTGTGCACTCTGGTTTACAGGATTTAGAAGAGAGCGCTCATCTAACGAAATTTGATTGCAAATCCAGCCGGTGAAAACTGAAATTATCAATGTTCTGGTTGGCAAAAATGGTACCTAGCCGCAGGGAATGCGAAAAAGAAGCGGCCAGACACGAAAAATGCGCGGCACGGTCCAGTTATCATTCTGAAATTTAGCATATGCGCATATCTAGCGTGCAATAACTACTCCATCACGGGAGCAGAGATGACAGCTCTCGGAGAGCCTTTTGAATGCTCGGCATGCTGATAGAACCAATGTGCAGCATGTTGATAAAGTTTCCTCCGTTGTGGATCCAAGGTCCTTCCCGTTGTACAATTCACCGCAGGAAGTCCATTGATCTATCGGTTAGTCCTTCGGGTTTTTGCCGAAAGGATCATGTTATATACTACATGCTAACACTTCCGCTTTGTAGCAAGCTGTTAGTGAGCGGACTGGTACCATACTACTTATCTGCTAGCACACTAGATGCTATACACTAACACCACACCGGGCACTATGTTCAGGTTTGACAAAAGAATACATCGCTGAGTGCAAGAGGCTTTCCAGAAATAGGGGTCAGTTATTTTTCTGCTCCACTGCTGACAAAGGTTGTTGTGTAGATCTGCCACTTGTTCGAAGGCTGAATTATAAGCCGGGATATTCAGGTCCTGTGCTTTCGGAAGGCTCTTCCTATCGCTGCTGTAAGGAGATTTGCGGCCAAGCAGTTTGGCGGCAGGTCCCGCGTCCCGTGCCGAGTTCTCTACAGGTGCTCTGTCCGTGTGTGTTGTGGTGGTGTCTGTTGCTTTTTTCCGGCTTGACGTCCATTTTTCCGCTGTGGGCCTGAAAGCTGCTGCATCGCTCTGTCGTCAAGTGCTGCCGTGCGCGGCTGGGGTGTGTAGACGAGCCGCTCAGACATTGTCACAGAGCTGCCCTCCTGACGCCGTCAGCTGGTCCCGGGCCGGCGTGGACCGGGACTGAGTGCGCTGCGACCGTGGCTGCTCAGTCCGGGTCACAGAGCTACCCTCCTGACGCCGTCAGCTGGTCCCGGGCCGGCGTAGACCGGGACTGAGTCCCGCTGCGACCGTGGCTGCTCAGTCCCGGGTCCGCTGTGACTGCGACTGCTCGGTCCGAGTCCGTTGTGACTCACTGCCCAGTCGGGGTCCGTTGTGACCGGGACTGCTCAGTCCGGGTCCACCGCTTAGTCCGGGGTCCATTGTGTACCGGGAATGTTCAGTCCGGGTTCGTTGTGACTGTAACTGCTCAGTCGGGGGCCCGTTGTAACCGGACTGCTCATTCCGGGGTCCACCGCTCAGTCAGAGTCCATTGTGACCGGGGCTGTTCAGTCCGGGTTTGTTGCGACCGGGACTTTTCAGGTCCGGGTCCACCGCTCAGTGCGGGTCCATTGTGACCGAGACTGTTCAGCCCGGGTCCGTTGCAACCGGGACTGCTCAGTCCGGGTCCACTGTGACTGGGACTACTCTGTGCGAGCCCGCTGTGGACCGTAGCTGCTCAGTCTGGGTCCACTGTGACCGTGATTGCTCAGTCCGGGTCACAGAGCTACCCTCCTGACGCCGTCAGCTGGTCCCGGGCCGGCGTAGACCGGGACTGAGTCCGCTGCGACCGTGGCTGCTCAGTCCGGGTCCGTCGTGACTGTGACTGCTCAGTCAGGGTCCGTTGTGACCGTGACTGCTTTGTCCGGGTCCGCTGTGACTGTGACTTGCTCAGTCCGGGTCCGTTGTGACCGTAACTAACTGCTCAGTCCGGGTCCGTTGTGACTGTGACTGCTCAGTCCGTGTCCGTTGTGACCTTGACTGCTCAGTCCGGGCCTGTTGTGAATGTGACTGCTCAGTCCGGGTCCGTTGTGACCGGGGCTGCTCAGCCCGGGCCCGCTGTGACCGTGACTGCTCAGTCCGAGCCCGCTGATTGCTGATGTCCTGGTCCAGCGGACACGCCGCTGGTGACTAATGACTGGGCGCCTCGGGTGGCGCTGAGCTGCCCCGTGACCGAGCCCGGACCTCGAAGGCGGCGGAGGCGGCGCATCGTCAGCCTGCCATGAGGTGGCTGTCGCTGAGCTCCGGATCAGCTGACGGTTAGACGGGCGAGCCCAGCTCACTACTGACCCGCAGCGGCCGGTCCAGCTGTCTCCGCTGGAGGCCCGTCCGGACTGACCGTGGCCAGAGCAGTGTATATGACAGCCAAGGAAATGGATTCCGGCCATGCGTCAGCATCGCGTGGATGAGCTGGGCGCTGCCGCAAGCAGCGGGCCGAGTTTGACGGGGTTGTCTCACTGCGCCGAGCCGCTGGCTTAGCCGCGCCGCGGCTACGCCGCCGCCGCCCGTGACGCGCCCGTGACGCTGTCTGCAGGAGGCGCTGGAGAGGCGCCGGCCCGACTACATCCGCAACGCGGCCGTGCGCCAACGTACCTTTGCCGGCTGGCCGAGCTGCGCCGCATGAACGTGGAGCGGGCGACACGCGCCGCCGAGCGACCTGCCCGAGCTGCCCACCGAGCGCGACTGGTGCGACTTCAGCGAAGCGCTCAAGCCAGAGAGTGAGTACCGGGGGAGGGGGCGACAGGGGTCCGGACGAGGCGACGGTGCGTGAGCGGGGCCGAACTGACCGACGGACGGACTGCTGCGGCGGATGGCCTCGTCAGCTTCGGGAGTACTGGGGAAGGGGGCAACAGGGGTCCGGACGAGGCGGCGGTGCGTGAGCAGGGCCGAACTGACCGACGGACGGACTGCTGCAGCGGATGGGTCAGCTTCGAGATGGAAACTGACAGGAGTAAACTGGAGGATGGCGGTTTGGGGACCGGGGACGGGGATACGCAGCATCGGACATTGAATGAACGCGTCACTCGTCGACGTTATGTGTGTGTGTGTGTGGTGTTGTGTGTGTGTGTTGTGGTGTGTGTGTGTGTGTGTGGTGTGTGTGTGTGTGTGTGTGTGTGTGTGTGGTGTGGTGTCTGTGTTGTGTCTGTGTCTGTGTCTGTGTGGTGTCTGTGTCTGTGTCTGTGTCTGTGTCTGTGTCTGGTCTGTGTCTGTGTCTGGGTCTGTGTCTGTGTCTGTGGTGTGTCTGTGTCGTGTCTGTGTCTGTGTCTGTGTCTGTGGTCTGTGTCTGTGTGGTGTGTGTGTTGTGTCTGTGTTGTTTATGTCGTATGGTGGGCAGCTCCACAGTCGATTGCTGTAGTAATTCTAGTTTTCGCGTGAGTGTCTTCGGCGAGAAGCTACGCTTATTCACCAGGCTCTACTTTTGAGCCGTACACTCGTTTATTACCATTTTTGCAAAACCTCCTTCTAAATCATGGCTCCCTGGACGACCTCCGAGTGACATCAATGTTTTTGTTTTGCTCACAAATTCCACAATCTTGCTGTGATCTATGCAACACCGGGGGTCGTTTATGGAGATGTGCTCTCCCTGATGAAGCCGGCGGGCCTCATCATTGGACCGCTGCTCGGCTCCGGGATTACCATATTCGGACGCTCTCCATTTGGCTGCGGACTGCGGTGCGGACTGCGGCGCGGACTGCGGTGCGAACTGCGGTGCGGACGGCGGTGCCGACTGCGGTGCGGACTGCCGTCTGAAGACACATGCTCTGCTGTCGCCCGGCCACCAAAGCGCTCGTTTTACCGTCCTGTGCGTACGTGCTTGCTCGCTGGAGCGGCTGTGTGGAGTGTTCAGCCTGGGTTCTCGCGCGCAGCAGAGTTCCCGGCGCTGACTTGACTCCAGCCACGGAGGAAGCCTGGGCTGGCAGGGGCGGGGAGGGGGGCACTCCCTCTGGCGACCTGTGCCGTCTCTCGCGGGACGTACGGTTCCGTGATCGGCGCTGAGAGGCACGCGACGCCAAACGTGACGGCTGCCCAATACCCGCTCCGCCGCCTACTTGTCTTGCGGGCCACCCACCAGCCGCGTGCTGGAATGACGTTCCGTCGGCAGTGGCTCCAGCTACGTCTCGGGCGAGTGCCGGCACCCCCTGCCGGGACCGGCCGGGGGGGGGGGTGGGGGCGACGTGGGGGGGTTGTCAACCGGCGCGAGCGCAGGCGCGGCGCTGCGAACGCCGCGCGCTGAGCTCGCCGGACCGGCGCCGTCTCACCTGTGGGCGGGACGGCGTCGGCCCCTATAGCTGGCCCGGCTCGCCGCCAGACGAGGCCGCCCCCGCGCCCGCCGTGCCGTGCCGTGATTGATTATTCATACTGGAGCCCCGCGGCGCCGGCAAAAACATCCGCTCGACGCCCTAAGCGCCGCCTAAGACGCGGCTTACGGACCGGCGCGGGCGGCGAAAAGTCGACCCAGATGGGGGCTTTGGCTCGGCTTGCTGCGGCGGGGCCCGCCACTATCCAGACTCGCTCCCCCACTCTTCAGACGTAGGACGGAGTGCCATCAGCTCTATATGTAAATTTGTCGTAGCAGCTGTGTTTTTGCGTGCGCGGGGTTCGGTCATGTTACGACGCGGGGTGCACGGACTGCGTTGGCGTCATCGCCATGCTTATCGGCGCTGCCGCCTGCCCGGCTCCCGCGGGCTGCGAGCCGAACCGGGCCAGGGCCGGACCGGACGGCCCGCCCCGGCTGTGCAGTGCGCGGCACGACGCCGCACCACTGGTGGGGGTTGGCGTGGCTTGGAGTGGTTACGGAGGTTTCTGCGGCGCTGAGCGACGGAGTCGTGGCCCGGAGCGGAGGCTCTGGGCGCTGCGAGATCGGCAGGCGTCGCACCACGCCGGCCGGGATGGCCCGGAGCGGAGGCTCTGGGCGCTGCGAGATCGGCAGACGCCGCACCACGCCGGCCGGGGTGGCCCGGAGCGGAGGATCTGGGCGCTGCAAGGTCGGCGGCACGGCTCATGTCTGACGTGTCGTAAATCACGGGCTGATGATCGGCTCTGGGAGCAGCGAATGGATGAACTGCGAGTGCGAGAGCAACGGCTGCATCTCTGGGAGATTTGGAGCGTTCACATCATCGGGAGCTTTGTGCGCCACGGCTCTTGAGTGGGGCGAGGATTGCGAATATTTTAGGAGGGTTGGTGAGCAAGCACCTGTAAACTTGCCGTTTCCAATCAAATTCATCAGCGTTAACGTAATTTCTCCGCGTCGTAAAAATCACCCTTTCGAAAGTTTCGTTATCCTATGAAGTTTTCTTATCATATTCAGCTGGCTTAGTGGGAAGTGCTTTCATTACAGTCTGCTATCGCGCCGGGCGCGATGGCCCGGTGTGGTCTGGCTTGCAAAGATAGGGTGAGCGATTAGCCACCAGCTGCGGGGCTGAGCGGGATGGCCCGGTACGGAGGGGCCGGGGACACTGCCCAGCTCGTGCGGCCGGGTCCGACGCTGGCCGACACCGGCAGCGGGCGCCTGGTCGGTAGGGCCGGGGACACTGCCCAGCTCGTGCGGCCGGATCCGACGCTGGCCGACACTGGTAGCGGGGGCAGCCCAGCTCGTGCGGCCGGGTCCGACGCTGGCCGCGGGCCAGGGCACCGACAGACCAAGGTTTGCATTCACTTAGCTGTGGGAATATTTACTTCTGTTCGGCTGAAGCTGACTGGTGTGTCCTGTAGCGATCGCCATGGGAAGAGGCATGGGGCAGGGGACATGGGGCAGGGGACATGGGGCAGGGATATAGGGCAGGGGGACATGAAACAACACCACTGACACAATGGAGCTGTCTTCAGCTAACCCTGTGTGAGCTTACGACTTTCGCTGACATTTCTGCGGAACAATGACATGCTCGGGAATTTGTGCAGATGTGGTGTTCTGTTGTTTGCTTTTTTACAAGGAACATGCCGCACTTGTTCACACCCTTTTGTGGAGCGCCAGCGACTGCTGCACCCCTGTTGGTGCTGATGGGCCATCGGGCAGCCGGGATGTGAGCAAAATCGGCTCACATCCCGGCTGCCCGATCACATCACACCCCTGAACACCACATCTGATGCGGTGGTTCACGTGGTGTACAATATACTCACAAGATCCCGAACTGAAAGGTGATGGGTAGGTGGGGAGTCAAACATGCTCCTTTCAAATGCATGGGCAGATTGTAGCCGGCCCATGTTTGCAGTGGCAAAGTAGTGCAAATAAAGGACACGACACTGCAATGTGAAAGTAGTGCAAATGAAGGACGCGACATGTTTGCATTGGGAAATGAGTACAAATGAAGGACATATGTTGGCGGCGCGAAATTGGTGCTGACGAAGGACACGGTATGTTTTGCGCTGGGAAATTTGGAACTTAGTGCAAATTAAGTACACATGTTTGCAGTGGGAAATTATTACAAATGAAGGACGCATGTTTGCAGTGTGAAGAAATAGTATTAACGAAGGCACATTGTTGCGTTGTGAACTGAATGCAATACGGATGAGGACGCATGTTTCCGGCGGGAAATTAGTGCTATCGAAGGACACATGTTTGCGTGAGAAAGTAGTGCAATGAAGGACACGTGTTTGCAGTGGTAAATAAGTGCAAATGGAGGAAACGGTACATGTTTGCGGTGGGAAATTGGTGGAAAGTAGCACCACGAATGTTTTGCATTGGGAATTTTGTTAAATTGGAGGGCACATGTGTGTAGTGCGAAATTAGCTTCTTTTTTTCTACGCGTTACTCAAGACAGGAACCAGGGAGTGCCCCTCCCCCAATCCAGCGACGCAGTAACCGTACGTTAACACCAGAAAACATGAAATCGAGTCGCGGCACTCCCAGCTAGGAAGATGAAACAAACGTAAAAAAAAACAGGCGAAGAGGTGGAGCAGACCCGAATGGAATTATGTTATGTGATAGGTAGGGAAAATCATAGATGAAAGGCTTAAGGTAGTCATTAGCCAAAGCAGCTAATGACAGCCCGCTATAACCGCCCAGTATTCTACAACCACTCAATTCACCGTGTTGGTAAGGGCTATACAGTCACAAGTCGGAGGGGGCAATTACCTGGTCATTTTTGGCTGGGTTTTGAGCTGGATGTCCAGGGAGTCCACCCAGCTAAGCAGAGCTTGTTGTGGGAGAACTCCCGGAGCCAGCGCCGTGAATTTGGGTATATGTACATGACTTTATATCAGAAATTGATTATGAAACATGAAGGAGGTCACATATGAAGTGCGTGGATATGTACAGCACAAGGAGGCCAGTGTCTTCAAATATGTTGGTTACGTAATATGTGTTCACGAAATGCTCGCGGATGATGTTCTTAACGATGGTTTTTGTATACAGATATATCAGCTATTCTTGGAAAATATGAAACCATAATGTCGTTCCACAGCTTAGGGCCAAGGTAAGATGCTGTAATAGTCTATAATTACGACAAGAGAAAGGTCGGTCTAAATGTTTTGTCGTTCTCATATCCATGTCATTGGATTCGTAGAGATTGTATATAAATCGAATGATGCAGGGAGCTGTGAAGTGAAAAATTTGTGCATCACAATTAACATTTGAGATTT